GCACTTTCTTCAACTGCCCAGTGTCAGGGTGCAACCTGTTTTCTGCTGGGACTCTTGTGACACATGGCCCAATTCCATAGTCAGAGAATGGACAGAACCCTGTGAAATGCTGAGCAAATGTCGAGTTGTTGGTATTCAGATTATTTCATTAACTGCTCACCCCTTCCTAGCCCAGAAAACATCAGGGCCTAGGATAGCTGAGATTTTTTGCACACAGAATTTTAAAAACCAAATTTGTATTATAAATTTATAAATTTATAATTTTATAAATTATAAATAAAACCAAAATTGTATTATTGACCCTGTTTTGGAAGAGAAACGGAGTCTCAGAAGAAGTTTCATGACCTCTACCTATAGGTTCTGCCTCTTGTTGGTTAGAATCATGGATTGAAAATATTCAAGGTGGGGGAGAGGGCCTTTGTCCTAATTTTTTTAGATAGTCCCCCCTTTTTGAGACAGGATTTTTCTGTGTAGCCTTGGCTATAGACCAGGCTGGTCTCAAATTCACAGAGATCCACCTGCCTCTGCCTTCCAGGGTGCTGAGATTACAGGCATATGTCACTACACATGGCAGTAATTTCTTTTTCTTTCTTCCTCTATCCATCCTTCCTTCCTTCCTTCCTTCCTTCCTTCCTTCCTTCCTTCCTTCCTTCCTTCCTTCCTTCTTTCTTTCTTTCTTTCTTTCTTTCTTTCTTTCTTTCTTTCTTTCTTTCTTTCTTTCTTGACAAGCTCTCATATATTCCAGTCTGACCTTGAATTTGCTATATAGGCAAGGATGACTTGAACTTCTGGTCCTCCTGCACCTAGCTTTCCAGTTCCGGGATTATAGGTAAGAACTGCCATGCCCAGTTTATGTGCTGCTGAGGACGGAACCCGGGGCTTCACGCCTGCTATATAAGCACCCAACCAGCCGAGTTACACCTCACGTATGTCCTGACAATACACAAACTCTTTTTGCCATTATTTTCTAAACAATACAGTACAAGCACTCTTTACATTTGTATTGTATTGTAAATGACCTAGAGATAATTCAAAGTATGTAGGAGGATGTGCACAGACTATATGCAAATGCTACACCATTACAGTAGACTTGAGAATTCTTGGTTTTCAGTGTTCACAGCGTTCCTGGAACCACTCCTCCACAGACACTGAGGTTTTACCGCTGTTAGAAGAAGGCCCATGGGTTAACTCAAGTCTGGACTCATGAGGAATGGTATCAATAACTTGATGCAGGTGGTAAATCTCCTCTGATTCATTCTGCCTTTCCCCTGCAAAACACCAGGCCTCTAAACTGTTGACAGGCCCTATCCGTGCTCACCTTACCTCTCTAGCTGTCTTTCCCACATACTAGCCACTCTGGGAACACTATGGCAGAAATACATATCTGGATTCTGTTCTCAGAGTCTATAGTCTAATGGGGGAAGGCAGACCCCAAGTCAGAACACAGATAAACTGGAAGTTGGATTGGGGTCCATGAAGAAAAGATATCTGAATGGATAATGGTGCCTTTGCTGAGAGACCGAGACTTGATGGGGAGCCAGAGCTCCAGGATCAGTGTATCATTTAGAGATGAGTGGGACTCTGATGCTCAGAAGATTTAGCCTAAAGGTTAAAAAGCACCCTGCTGTCCCTCTAGGCTTTCTTAGGTTCTTTCTATCTTTTCTTGGAGAATTTTTCTTGAGAACACAATGCCAAGTGATTTCCATGTTTATAACCATCATTCATTTGTTCATTTGCTCAACAAACTCATCGTACCACGCTAGAGTTGGATCTGGGAATGACTTGGTACCCTCAGAGAGTTCTGTCCAGGGTTGGAGTTGACAAATAAAGTAGACAAATAAACCCTACCCAGGATGGAAAGTGCTAAATAGAAGTACTGTAGAATCACTAAAATGGGCCTTAGAAGCAGTCAGAGATGGTGGAGGGAGGGAGCTACTGTAATGGGGGTTAAATTATCCCGGGATTTGAAACACTTGGACATCATTGCCACCCTTAGGCCTGATGGGAAAGGGAAAGGGGTGATTGTAGGAATGAATTGTCAGGGAGAGCCAGTGGGGAGATAGAGGCTCAGCTAGAGATGTAGCCAGAACACTAGCAACAGACTAGAAAATAAAACCAAGAGAGCCAGGAAGATGGCTCACTAGGCAAGGTCACCAAATCTGAGGACCTGAGTTCAATGCCTGGAACCCACATGATAGAAAGTACTATTGCCAAGCAAAACAGAGAAGGGTGTTAAGGGAGTCAGAGAAGGAAGGGATTTGAATTTGGAAACAGGGTGGTTAAGAAAGGCCTCCACAAGAAGGTGGCACTTAAGCTAAGACTTGGAGGTGGTATATCTCTAGATGAGGCTTTTCCCCCATCCAGTGCTTCCTGGTCTCCAACTCCACTCCTCTCCTTCACGCTCCCCATCCTAAGGTGAAGACCTTGCCTCTGTGGATGAAGGAGTTCCTCTCCCAGGCTCCTCAGGGATAGAAACTGCTGCCTCCTGCCCTTTCTGATCCAAGGAACAATGCCTTTACTGCACACATTTCCAAATGCCTGGTACACACGATTCCAGCTAGCCTCACAGGAAACCGGCAAAGCACAGCGGGGGGAAATGAGGCAGCTCTTACCGTTTTCTAACAGCTCCTTGGTCAGCTGTCTTCTCTAGAGGAAGGGCTAGGCTTTCATGTTTCCAGTGGGTGCCAAGACCAAAGGGCAGAAAGAGGCAGTTCGAGACATGAAGATAACCTGACAGTTGGAGCCACTTTCCTGCTTTTGGGACAGCGAGTTTCCTCCCTGTCATTGGTGACGCTTCAAAGCCTCATGTCAACATGAAATCCAGAGAATTCACTAGATGAGAGGACTGACTAGAGACCTATGAGTCCTTCCACCTTAGGGTTTATGACTAAACGACTCTGGCGCTCTAAGACGGTACAAATCTGGATCTCTGATTCTCGGTGTTATTGGAACAGATTATCTTTGTCCTCAGAACACTAACAATCCAACTAACATCCCTGCTGATGGGGACAGTTAGTTGCTCTCAGTAACTAATAAACAGTTCTATGTCATGAATGCAAGTCCTATGTCCAAACTGGGCAGAAGGGGAGGACCTTGACTGAACTTGTTTACCCCAGGCTGTTCCTGTTCTGTTTTTCAAGACAGGGTTTCTCTATGTAGCCCTGGCTGTCCTGGAGGTCCCTCTGTAGACCAGCCTGCCTCGAACTCAGAGATCTGCCTACCTCTGCCTCCTGACTGGGTCACCATTACCCAGCACCCGAGGCTAGTCTTAAATTCTTTTTTTTTCAGATTTATTAATTTTATTTTATGTTTATAATTATTTGCACAGCTCTATACCTGTTGTACCACATGTGTGCCTGGTACCAGTGGAGCTCAGGAGATGGCATTAGATGCCCTAGAACTGGAGTTACAGATGGTTGTGAGATACTGTATGGGCACTGGAAACCTAACAGATGGTGCTCTTCAATGTTCTTAGCTGCAGAATCATCTTTCCACCCCTTGTTTTTGGTGTGTGTGTGTGTGTGTGTGTGTGTGTGTGTGTGTGGGCGCGTGCGCGCGCGCCTGGGTGTTTTGCCTGCATGTATATCTGTGTATGCCGGGTACCCTCAAGGCTAGTCTTAAGCATCATTGGGAGACTGGGAGTCTTGTTTTCTTTTCTTCTTCTTTTTCTTCTTCTTTTGACAGGGTTTCTCTGGGTAGCCCTGGCTCTCACAGAGATCAGCCTGCCTCTGCCTGCCCAGTGCTGGGATTAAAGGCATGCACTGCCTTCTCCTGGAGTCTTGTTTTTAAAAATGCTGATTTCTGGGCTCGGCTCCAAATCTTCTGAATCAGAACCTCCAGGGAGGAGCCCATACTCTCCTTTTTGAAGCAAGCGCCTCCTTGTTGTGTAGACTGGAAACAGCACATACCTAGGTGGCCAGGATAACTTCTCCGAGAGGTGGTTTGCGGTTTAGGGAGGAATGGCTGGGTAGAAATGTCTGATACAGAAACAACACAGCAAAGACGTCTTCTGGAGGAGGTCGGCAGGGAGGCACAGAGCGCCTACCAGGTGCAGGTCTCGTTTTCCTTAGATAATCATATCCTAAAGTTCTGTGAGTTAAATTACAGGCCTCAGAAATACCGCAGCAGATATTTGCAATGGTGTGAGGGGCCCATCTGAGTGTGGTCATTGTGTGGACCCTGCTGGTAAAAAGAGCTTGGATAAGTGGTCCCCACAGAGTCCCTGAGAAGCTGGTTCCTGTTTCTGACATCTGTTGATGGCCTCCTGGCCCCCATTTCTCAGCTTCTCTTGTCTTCCTCTCTTCTATGTAACAGAAACCATTTGAATCAGGACCCAGTGGCTTGGAAGACCAGTATTCTGGGCCGGACACCAGTTAAGTGGCTGGCCTCAAGCTGATCAGGCACACGAGAGACTACTGAGGGAGGAGGCACCTGCGGGGGTGCAGTGGATTCTGAGTCCGAGCTCTGCGCCAACCTGCGTGGTGAGTGTAGACAAATCCCAAACCTCCCCAGTTTGGGTTCTGCAAGCTGGAAAACAGGGTTTGTGTTAGAATCAGATGTTTTCTTTGGCTATTCCAGTTTTAGTATTTCGGGTTCTGAGAACACTTCTGACCCTGCCCTCAGCCTGTGAAGAACGCATCCAGGAATGGTCGTACCCACTGTGAGGAAGCCAAGGCCCCAGAGAGGAGCTGCCCGGTGCCACACAGCCACACAGGTGCCACACCGGACTCCACAAACGCCCAGGGCTTGTTTCTGGGTTTCTGGGGAATCAGCTTTTTTGCTAGGTTGGCTGAGACATAGTGACACAAACGAGAAAAATTCGGCCTCGGGTCCAGGAAGCAGGCGGTTCCCCACAACCGGGTGAGGCCAAGGAGCTGGGTGTAGGCGCCCCAAGCCAGCCAGAGCTGAAGCTGGCGTACTAGGGCAGGGCGGGGCCGGAGGAGGGGCACCCTGAGAAGGGAAAGGGAGCCAAGAGCCAGTAGCAGCGCAGAGCTGTGAAGGCACAGAGCGGCGGCTGAGCATCCTTGCGCTCAGCGCTCACCAGAGACAGATCGCAGAGGCAGGTAAGGCGCACCCACAGGCGTGGAAAACCTAACTACAGTCCGGGCAAGAAGTGCAGGGTTTTCGCCTCCTTGGCGAGTGTCCAGGATGTGTTTTCCTTGAGACGGAGGACCTGACGTGGGGTGCTGCTAAAACACCGAGCGGATCTTCCCCAGGAAAACGAGCAGGTGTTCCCAGGCAGCACAAGGGAGTAGGGAACTTAGCTGTGCGTGGGAAATCGTCGGAGGTTGGCAGGCGTGCTCCCAGGCTTCCCTTGAGGCAGCAGAACTCCTCCGCGCCTGCAGAGAAGAGAACACTTACAGGTCTGCCCCAGGACGCTTAGGGAGATAACATTCCAGAGTCAGTCTTGCTGCTCCAAAGCTGCGGGCTCTGCACCGCCGTGCCCCACTCCACTGACCAGCCCTCTGTGACCTAGGAGAGCCTGGGACTCCTAAAGGCATCTTCTGCTACTGGTGGCAGGTCTAGGTGGGAAGTCAGGAGTCTTGGGTTGTAGTTTTCAGGTAGTGTAAACCTGTGCCCCTCAGCCGTGGCTAGTGCCTCGTGCTCCCCGCCCCCCCCCCGTAAAAATGAGTCTCCCGCTCCAGTTGCCCCCCATGATCCACATTAGGGCAAAGGGGAAGGTTCCGGAGGTCTCTTAGCCAGTGTGTGGGAGCCCAAGGAGCAATGACCTAACCCCTGCTTCCTACTCCTCATCTCCTCATTCATTTGCATGTGAGAAAACTGAGCCCCCCCCTCCCCCCGCCCCTCATGACTTTTCTAGGGTCTTGCTAGGGGTCCAATTGAATTAGAGCCAGCGCTCCCTCACTCCTAGCCCAGGCCTCTGTTTCACCTGCAAATATCGAATAAATTCATTCTTTCTGGCACTCAGCCACTTTGTCAATTCCAAATGGAGGGAGTGCTACCCTGGTGACGTTAAAAACTGCCTTTAAAGCCTGTTGACTCCTTAAGATGAAAACCAACAAGCAGCTTTCTTCAGTTCACACTTCTCAAGGCACGTTTCTATCTGAACCGCCAGGGTGCTTGAAGAACCTTCTAAGAGGAGGGGGGCCAGCCAAGACCAAGAGCCTACAGCCTCCACAGGCACACTCAGAACGGCACTTCTAAATGGCAGGGGACAGGATTCGTCAGAAAGGGTGGGGAACAACAAAGGAGGTCAACACTCTGAGGTCCACGAAGAGCAGTAAGGGCCCCTCCTGGTTTCTGTGGAAGGGCCATGCAGGGGCCGGCAGGTACGCGGAGACAGCCAGGGGAACAATGTGGACTGGCTTCCTAGTAATGTTTTCTTACGTTCGCTGTTCCTACGTTTGTCCCTCCCAGTTCTCACGGGGTAAGCCGGGCATGGGTAATTACCTCCATCTTACAGATACGGTTCAGAGGAAATAAGCGAAGCATTCAAGGTCACATAGCCAGACACACAGCCAGGACTGGGATCGAGAAAGGCGAGATCACAGGCTGAGACTTGGACTGTGTGCAGTCTGTGGGTGTGGATGGCCACACCTTAAGTAGGTACACAGGGAAGAGCGTTGCAAAACCATTTACTGGTGCTTGGGGGGGAGGGGGCAAAAATGTTTGCCCTTTAGATAATCAGATTCGGGAAGTGCCTGGGCTTCCCAAGGAGGCTCAGGTGCCCCATGTCACCTGATCAAGGGGCCTTCCCTTTCTTTAAGGCAGCGCGTCTTGGTCTAACTTGGAGTTGCTCCTACTTTGGCTTTCTGTTGAAACACTGAGAGCTGTTTCCACCAATCTGTTGGGAGACAAGTTAAGCAGGCAGGGTACTCTTTATTAGAAGAGGTATTGGTTCACTTGTCTTTTTATTCTTCAGTGCTTGCTATGTAAACAGTCCCAAAGAATAAAGAAATGGATGAGGCCCAGGTCCCTGCCCTGAAGCCTCCAAGCATATGCACATGGACACCCTGGGCCCACACGTACACTCACCCATGGTTTCTGACTAGCACAGTTTTCTAATGAGGCCATTTTTAACTCATCCTGGTAGCAAACAAGAGGAGAAGCTAGTTATTGGGTGGGGGAGGGGGGCCTTGGGAAAGAATCTAAACAGGTGCCTTGAGCAGGGTCTTGAATAATGAGTTTGCTGAGCAGATGGAAATGTAAAAGAATTCCTTCTTAAGAAGAGTACGAGCAAAGGCAAGAGACACAGGAGTGTAAGGACTGTTTGCTGAATTCATGGCCTGAGCTCATTGTCATGGTCACGGGCACTGGGAGAACCATAGGGAGGTAGAACTAGTGGCAGGGTCACATCTAGAGGAGTTTGACAATTACTACTTTTGTTTTATTTTTTCCAATTTTCTTGATAGCTGTTAGTCTTTCTTCTAAGCTAGCCCATTGCCTATTTCAAGCAAAGGCCTCTCTATGACAGGAGCTCTGCCTCTTTTATCCTGGAAACTTGATAATCAATGGCTTTCCAAGAGACTGAAGCCAAGAAACTCGAGGAAGAGAAGCAAAATGTCCAGTGTTTCTGTCATGCCCACTTGAGACCCAGAGGCAGGTCGCAGAGAACCAGTCTGTCCTTTCTGTCTTCTGCTTCTCCTTACCCCAAAAGGATGCCCAGCACTTGGCACCTTATGCCTGCCCAAACCCAGCACCTAGGATGTGTAACACAGCCTCTTTGTTCCTCAAGTCAGAACGCCAAACATCCGGAGAGGCCTGACAGGAAGGCCTGATGGGTGAGAGTTTGTGTGATTCCACTCATGAAACCCACCTGTCCTTCACTTGCCTCCTACTCCCACTCCGTCCACCCCACGCTGTCTCTTTCTCCAGGACAGACCATCCTCACTTGTCAGAGCTAGGATGAAGAGGGAACAAGTGAACCCCTTTGGCCCTCTGCTCACCTAAGCTGGAACGTCAGGTGTAAGTCATTCCTAGATTCAGAAATATCTTAGCCTGCTAGGAACACACTGTAGCCTTCTCTGTCTTGGGCTTTGAAGGCTGAGAGGGCTCCCGAAGGTTGCCTCCACCAGCCAGTCCAGTCTCCCAAGATCTCACAGCATGCCTTTGTGATTCATACCATCACAGGATGTTTGAGTTGACCACAACTCCTTCATTTTACAGATGCAGATAGAGTTGAACTTCCCCCCCCCAAAAAAAAAAAGGAAATCACATGTCCAAAGTCACACAAGTAGCAGCTAGACCAAGAGAGCTAGCTGCCTGAGCTTTTATTTCCTTTAGTGTAAAATGAGGACAGTTAGCCTTGGTCACCTCCAAAGGCCCATCCAGCTCCTGCACTATACAAACCATCACCACTATCTGTAGCATTTACAGACAAGCCTTGCACAATGCTCTTTAATTTTCACGACAAAGCCATGTTACAGAGAGTTAATTTTAGGATATATTCATTTTAATTATTTTATTACATTTATTGGGGGAGGTGTATGTGGAGGTCAGAGGACAGTTTTCAGGAGGAGTTGGTTTTCTCTTTCCACCATGTAGATTGCAGGATCAAAATCATCTCATCAGGTTTGGCAGCAAGTACCTTTACTCACGGAGCCATTTCGACGGCCCGCTGAGACACATCAATATGCTATCCGTCCAAACAAATGTGATTAGTAATGTGTCCTTTATTTCTGTGAAACGGCAAACTGCCATTTTACTTTGGGATTCTAAAAGGCTCCTACTAAGGTCCCTTGGGAAGGAGAATGATTTTAGGTTGTGCCATTGTCACAAAGTGACCAGATAAAGATCTTGTGAGCTCGGAACGGGGAGGCAGCAGTCAGATGTCCCTTGGCCCCTGCATAGTTCCTGTAGCAGCAACTCTAGGCTGGCCTGAGCCCGCTGTTGCAGGAAGGAAAGAGGAACAGGGGTGGGGTCAAAACCCACAAAAAGCTTGCACAACCCTTAGGAAGTGGCCTTTGGCGAGCCACCCTTGGTTCTGAGGTTTGTGTGTCTGATATCTTTCTCTTCCTCCTCTTCTACCTCCTCCCCGATTTCTAGCTCTGAGATTTTTCTATCAACACCAAGACTCTGGCTGTATCCGGATGCACCCTGAAGAGTCCAAGGAGCTGAGGAGCCGTGGGTCGTCCACAAGGAGATTCTCAAGGATGTCTCAGGGCCAGCAGAGTCTCTGTACCATTTGGTAAGTGTCACGTTACCCACCCTGTGCCATGCCAGGGAGAACCCCTTTCCAGGGAAGGAAACCTCGGAAAACTGAGCGGGAACAGGGAGAGTTCATCTCCATCCATCAGAGGGATGCTTCGAGTTTTAAGCACTGAGTGTATGTATTTGCTTCTCAAAATGAAAAGCCCATTAATCCTCTTCAATGCAGTAGGAGTGCATTCTTACAGCTTGGGAAGCAGGGCAGGGATGATAGCCCTCTTTGTTGTAGTTAAACATGCATAGCCCCAAGTCTTCAGAGTTAAGCCTGTTTCCCATCTTCACATTGCTGTGGCACAAATCTCTATCTAGAACCTTGCCTCCTGCAGCAGACACTGCATGCTCGTTGTTTGACAACTCCCACTGATGATCTTGACAGGCAAGGAAGCCATGCCCTTCCCAGAAGCTAACTTCCCTCCAAGTGGGCTTGTTGAGCTTCATGCTGTTTGTCTGTGTCTGTCTGTACATTTATCTGGAGCCTTTCCCCCTTCACACTCATGTTCGTTATTCCCTTCCCCAAATCCCTCCTGCGGCTCACACTGATACCTGCTCCCACTTTGCCATGACTTCTGCCCTGGTCCAGGACTCAGCATACTGTTCCTAAACATCTCAAGACCCTTGTCATTGTCCTGCCTCAGCTCTCTCCCTCGCCACACACAGCAGCTGCAGGTGACAACGATCTGCCCACTTCATCCTCTTAAAATGTCGTGGTATCTTTAAATCCAACTACAGAATCAGGTTCCAACACACAGCATGGCACTCATAGTCCCCGAGGATTTGGCCCCATTGGTTTCTTCTGTCCCATATCCTGTCTTTTCCTTCTGTCCATCTTACATTCCAACATCTTCATGTTATTTTCCATTCTTCTAGACAATTTGTTTGTTTTTGTTTTTTTCAAGACAGAATTTCTCTTTATAGCCTTGGCTGTCCTGGACTTTGTAGACCAGGCTAGACTCGAACTCACAGTGATACACCCACCTCTGCCTCCCCGAGTGCTGGGATTAAGGGCATGTGCCACCGTGCCTGGCTTTCTTCTAGACATTTTATGTATTGTCTGTTGATCTACCTTTGCTCATCTCTTTCCCATGCTTGCCTTTTCTACCTCTTAGAACAGTGCAAATAACTCCACCCCAGTGCACGGCTTCTAAGCCCTGATCAGTGTTAATCACTCTAAGTACTCTTTTACATAGCTTCTGGGTTGTCACCTACCGTCATATGTCACATAGCATCATATTAGGCTGTCAGTGAAGCCTTGAGCGTGGGGACTGGGTTTGAGCCTCCTCAAGGCTGGAGCACAGACCCTGGTCCAGATACTGATTGGCTGGGTGGCTCATTAATTTCACTGTGGTGTTCCTGCTTGCCGCTGGCCCATATGAAGGAAAACTCAGATTTCTCACTTCTTACATATTAATTCAGGAAGTATGTGTGTGCTTTTTTCTCCTTGATCAGACAAGACCACAAGTACTGAAATGGAGAGGGCCTCAAAGGCCTTTCGTGGAAAGTAGGCCGGTCCCGGATGGCAGTAGGGTGCTGCTCTGTCATTTAGATTCTGTTCCCTGAATTCTGCTTTAAGCCATCATAAGTATTTATCATTGTTAGAACTATCTTTCCTGGGGGAGAGACCTGGTAGGTGATAATCATGTCTGATATGTATAGGTAATAATGTTTGTTGACAGTTCTACCTAGGTGAACGAGAGCTCTGGAATCAGCCATCGAATTAGAGGTGTTTGGCCTATTAAGGAATCCTAAATATAAACACTATTTACTACTCCCTGATCATGAACAAACTACTTATTTGTTTGGAGCCTCAGTTTTCCTGTGAAAAAAAATGGAAGGAGTTAGATGAAATAACCTCTGAAGTTCTTGTAGCCTAAAGTCTAGTGAAGTTATATAATCCAAGAAAAAGAGACAGTAACATGGCTTTTAGTGGCCAGAAAAGACTACTCCGCCTGCACTGTGGGATGCCTCCTTAAATGTGTATTATAGCGGGGAGGAAAGCAGCTTAGCACTTTCTGTCACTGAGCCTGAGGCCTAGTGGAGAAGACAGACAAGAAGCATGGAGAAGAGACCATGCTATCAGAGTTCTAGCCTAGGTCTGCAAAATAGGGGAGTCATTCAAGCTGTGGATAACGGAGCCACCCTTCCCTTTTTTCTCTCACCATCAGATCACATTCCAGTTTTCCCCGTACCTCAGTTTCTGTTGCTATGGAGACTTCGAATGGGACTGAGTACTGGTATAAGAGCCTCCACGCTGTGCTGAAGGCTCTGAATACCACCCTTCACAGTCACTTGCTCTGCCGGCCTGGGCCAGCACCAGGATCAGGACCAGCACTGGGGCCGGACAATCAAACCGAGGAGCGTCGGGCCAGCCTTCCTGGTCGTAATGACAACTCCTACATGTATATTCTTTTCGTTATGTTCCTATTTGCTGTCACTGTGGGCAGCCTCATTTTGGGATACACCCGCTCACGCAAAGTGGACAAACGTAGTGACCCCTATCATGTGTACATTAAGAACCGTGTGTCTATGATCTGATGTGAGGCGCCCAAGGATGATGGAAGATTATGATGCCTGAGGATTGTCCTCTTGGGCCTCCGGAACTCATCTGGACCCTGTCAAGCCTCAGTGTCTCTATCTACATAAGAACAACAAGGAAGAGAAGTCATCACTGGGACCAGAGACGAGGGCCTTGTCAGGCTTGGCCTTGTGGATAAGACATTTTTCTCGACAAAAGATGGGCATTATAAACTGGGAGCCCATGAACAAATATATGCAAATATGGACAGCTGGGGAGTAGAAGAAGCTGTGGTGAAGGAAAATGGACCAGGAAGATGCTCTGGACACACAATATTTTAACATATGATCATCAACATGAGAAACCTTGCTAAAGAGCGATGCTACTTATTTGTATTAAGTCATGTTTTGTTTAAATGCACTTACCATGTGTGGGGTTTGCCTCACCTACCAAGAAAGCAGAACAAAGCCATGACTAGAATCCAGGAACTCAATGGTCCTTTTTGTCTAGGACTTTTCAACACCACACAGGGTAAGATGCAGACTGGAAGAACTTGTGGCCAAGCATAATAATGCATGCCTGTAATCCTAGCACTCAAGAAGCTGAGTGGGGAGGATCATTTGAGCTGAGGAGTTCAAGATCAGCTTGAGCAAGCCCTATCTTGGTAGGGAGTTGGTGGGGGCTGCAGAGAAATATCTTACTTTACAAATGTTATCAAAGACATGCCACTGTGTTAATGTATTGTTCAGGCACTTCTGGGATCTTAAGACAGACTGTAAAGTACAGGGTCCTGAGCTACACTCATCAGTGACATGGTCATGAGCTTCATGAGCCATGTCATTGTGCCCTTCCCAGTCACGGCTCCAATTCCAGGGACTTCACACCCTCGGATGTAGCTTCTTCTACTCTAAATTCTATGAGAGATATTCTAATACCAGTTTGAAATTTGCTTGTAGGAGATTATTATTATACCTAGGAGATGACCATGATCACAGATACAGTGCGTAAAAGACTTCGTTCAATGGGAGAACTAGCCAGCATCTCACTTTTAAAGTGCTGTTTAGTTTTAGTTGGTTGTGCTGGTTAGTGGTTTTTTGCTTGTTTGTTTATTTTTGTCAACTTGACGCAATGTAGAGTCATCTGAGAAAAGGGAACCTCAGCTAAGAAAATGCCCCCATTAGACTGGCCTGTAGGCTATTTTCTTGATTGATGGTTGGTGTTGAAGGGCCCAGCCCACTGTGAATAGGGCCATCTTTGGGTAGTGGTCCTGGGGTATATAGGAACGCAAGACGAATAATCCAGGAGGAGGAAGCCAGTTTGTGGCTTTCCCCATAGATTCCTGCCCTGATTTTCCTCGGTGATGGATTGTGATCTGAGTGATATAAGATGAAATAAACCCTTTCATAATAATGTGATTATGATGCTTATCACAACACTAAAAACCCCTAGCTAAGACAGCTGGTTACCTCTCTTTCTCTCTCTTTAGTCTTATAAAATATTTAGACTTGCAAGTTGAAATGGCTTATCAATTCCTAGAAGGCCTCAATGAAACATACATTTCTGTATTCAGCAGCCTCTCAGGGGGCTTTTGGTAGCAGTTATCTCAATGGCATAGGACTTCAGTGATCCTTCCTTTCCACTTCAGCAGTGTGTGTGATACTTGCATTATAAAGGGCAGGAAAGCTGCTTCTCCCTTGAAACAGTAAAACCAAATGCTTCTTGGTTAAAAGCTGCTCTTACAGACGACCCAGGTTTGGCTCGCAGCTTTCTTGTGATGGCTCACAACCGTCTAACTCCTGTTCTAAGGGATCCAATGTCTTCTTCTGGCCTCTGTGGGCACCAGGCATGCATATAGTGCACAGACATACATAAAGACAAACATTCATACACGTGAAATAAAAAAGTCTTTAAAAATTATAAAATAAACACTTCTGTGTTTCTTGAAGGCTCAAAAGAGCACATTCTTCCACAAGCAGTTATGTTGGATCTCTGCAATAGTGTTTTGAGACCATGTTCTAAGCTCTTCTTTATCTCCCCTTGAGGTGGAAAGATGTGACTTCTTTAAGAATGTATGACAAGCCTACAGACAATGGGATCTTAGAGGCTGTCTACCTAAACATCCAAGTAAAAGGTGGACTGTGGTCATGTACAGCAATAAGTGGTCAGGTGATAAAAGATTAAGAGTTTTTGAGAGAAATGAGATTGACTTGATCAGCAGGATTCAGAGAGTGGTAGAATGAACTGAGCTTTGAACTGTTGAATAACCAGGCAAATTGAGTGGAGAAAATAAGACAAGGAGGCCTTGAGGCAGAGACCTTCAGACACACTGTTTTTGGGAGCTGGGGAGAAGGAACAAAACTGCCCCAGTGTGGCTGCTCTCTGACTCCAGTGTCCCTGTCTGTGGAAGAGGCTCAGCACACTTATACTAGCAGGAGAGTTAAAGTAATTCGCATTCCGTTTGCAAGTTACAGAAACCCAATGCTTATCAACGTGAGCACAGGAGAGGTACAGCACAGCTGCACTTCAGATCTTTGTCTGCACAGCTCCGGGTCCACACAGGGTCTGCAAGAGGCAACTCCAGGGATCTCAGGACCAGGAACTACGTCTGAATTCACAAATTAGGCATGCAGTGTGCCTCGCTACTGAGGGTTGGACTAAACAAAATCCTAGCCAGGCATGGTGGTGCACACCTTTCATCCCAGCACTGGAGAGGCAGAGGCAGGTGGATCTCTGTGAGTTCGAGGCCAGCCTGGTTTACAAAGTGAGTCCAGGACAGCCAAGGCTACACAGAGAAACCCTGTCTCAAAAAAACAAACAAAACACAGGAAACAAACAAAACCCAAGAAACAAACCGATCACCCCTCCCCAGTATTCTAGAATTTTAATGGGTAAATTTAACATTCTAGTGTGCTCTGGTGTAGGCACTCCTCTCAGCCTTCTGCCAGATTGACCCCAGGAGAACCCTGAGGGAGCTGTCTCGTGGCAGTGAGACCTCACCCAGCCCATCAGATCTTTGCATGTGTTCTGCCCTCTGCTGGCCAAACCTCAGAACATGGTCGCGATGCTCAAAGCAAAATTTCATTTACCCAACAGATACTTACTGTGTGCATACTTTACAGTAAGCATCAGCACGGCATGATTGCCATCCATAAGTAAGTAAAACAATACCCAAGTGAACTTGCTACACAGCAGGCACTGGCCCATGAGTTAGAGGTCTGTAACTCAGATTTTAATATCCTCACAATGATAAAATGCAAAAGGGCTCACTGATTTGACCTAGTGCCTTCAGAACAAACCATTCGATCATGCCTGTGGCATGCACAGGTCAGATCTGAAATTCCCCAGAACTAAATGAGAAAGTAATTTTGAGAGCAAAGGGTTTACGCCAGTGAAAGAGAACCCAATACAGGTGTTTACTGGTGAGGAATGCTTGGCAGGAAAAAGCGCAAGGGACAGAATGAAGACGACAGGGAGGAAAAAGGGGCCTAACAAAGTGTGTCTCGGGCCATGTCTAGCCATAGTCTGATACACAGGGCTCTGTGAGACGCAGGGAGCTGTCACTGTGGCTGGGACATAAACTATCTGGCAAAACAAAGACTCTTTTGAGGCGAGGGAAACTTTTGCGGTCACACTGCTCGGATGGGAAGACAGAGGAGGAGGCGAGGGAGATCTGGTGAGTGGAGGACAGTTCTGTGGAGAAGGCAGGCAGCCATGAGCTGTTGCAGGAGAGCGCAGTGGAAGTGAACTAACTGGGATGGGCTCTTGGTGGAATGAGCAACAGGATAGTTCCTGGGCAAAGTTCTGAAGTTTGCCACCGACTGGTTCCACCTTTTGTGGCTCTCCTTTCTATACCATGTTGGAGGTTAGAGTAGCCTCTGCGAGTACAAGTTAAGTGCTCCAGCCCTGCCCCGTCCCGGCATGCTCACACTTGCTTGAGAGCCGTCTCTGGGGAAGATGCAGCACGAAGCTAATGAAAGCAGCACTCCCTGAAGCTGAAGAAGGGTTTTACACGGGGCTTTGTCAGCATTCACCGCAGCTGTGCTTGCTGGGAAATGGGAGCAGAATGTTCCATCTTGACAGAGCCTTCAAGTTTAAGAGACAAGATGGAAATTGGGAAAATGGTACACGCTTGCAATCCTAGCACTTGGGAAGTGAGGTAGGAGGATGGTTCAAGGCCATCTTCAGCTACATAGTGAGTTCAAGGCTGGCCCTGGCTATAGGAACAGGGGTTCTCACAATCAGGGGTGAAGGGAAGGACACAAGAAATAATGAACAAAAACATAACGACACTAAATAGAAGCAAGTAATAAACACACAAGTTAAGTACCAGAAAGCAGGAGGGTCAGATATTAGGGTGAAGGTCCAAAAAAGGAAAAAGGAACCTAGTGGTTGATGGCATGAACCTTTAATCCCAGCACTCAGATCTCTGAGTTCCAGGCCAGCCTGGTCTACAGAGCAAGTCACATAACAGCCAGGGATACACAGAGAAACCCTGTCTTGAAAAAAAAAAAAAGAGAGAGAGAGAGCTGGTGGATAGTTTAGTCAGTGAAGTGCTTCCCTTTAGAAGAGGCTGGGCACGGTGACACATATTTGCAATCAGCACTGGGGAGGTGGAGACAATAGATCCCTGGGATTCTCTGCCCAGCCAATCTAGCTTTCTTGGAGAGTACCAGGGCAACACGAGATTCTATCTCATAAAACAAGATGGATGGCATCTGAGAAACAGTAGCTGAAGTTGTCCTCTGGCCCCTACATACATACATACACACATACACACACACACATACCTGCACATATACAAACATATATGTGCACATACCCAAAAGAGGGAAAAAAGATGTTTCTGGAAGTATGGCTTAAAGAATTAGTAAAGACTTGATTGGGAAGTGCAATAGAGTACAGTCCATGGGGGTTGGGGTGACAAAGTGGGCTCACAGTGCTGCTGTTCTCTGTTAGTGACCCAGGACAACGATCCAACCAGCTTTAACTTGTGTTACTCAGAGTCCTTAGGTGGAAGCTTTTATGCTTAGTGAGAGGAACTAGAAATTAGAAGTCCAGGGCCAGAGGTTTACTCCTAAGCACATGGCAAAAGCCACATACATCTCTTTTGAAGGGCTTAGCCCACCACAGGCTGCAGGGGAAGCTGGCACAGAGGCCTACCTGCTACTCAGCCAATGTCTACTACTGTTGAACGAGGGAACATAGCTTGGTGGACAGAAAGGAGTCTGTCCCTCCTCTCTCCCAACACAACTGGTCAAGGTCAAAACACTTGCAATGCTGCCAGAAGGAAGAGGGCAATTATGAAACCCTTAGGAGCATAAACAAATGTGTCTTGGAATAGGACTGTGAAACTTTTGATCTTACCCCCTTGCCATGGCACCATTGAGTCTGGTCTCTGTTGTCATTGGGACGGTAATATTAAGGTATCAGTGTAAGCACAGGAGACGAAGACAAAGCAAGGCTTTCAGAGCCAACCCTGTACAGAAAAAAAAAGATTCTTCTAAGTGCTACTGAGAATCCTAAGCATAATCAGCCTGATGAAATCAGAGAACCCATTTGTAGCAGGGGTTAACCTGTGAAGAAGGGTCAGCTCCTGGGAGTAATTGAGTCAGCGGAGAGAAAGGAGGGGGGAGAAAGCTAGGATCTGATGAACAGCTGTATCCTTTGCCTCACACTGCCACGAGCCAAAGGACCCCTCTTCCTGGGGACTGCCGACAGCCGATGGTGAACTGAGAGATAAGATGCTGACCTCATCATTTCAGTTTGAGGTAACTCTGAGTGGCCACCTCGGCTCCAGAACTCCAGGGTCAGCCCAAGGCTTTCACTGCAACCATGCCATGAGTTGACTTTTGTCCTCTGCCCACTCTAGCTTCCTAACTTCTATACCCCTCATCTTTCCAGAGTGCTCCCTCCCACAAAACCTTCTCTACTCAACTCTCCGTTTCCAAGAAGCCAATTTCTCGTCAAGAACTACAGTAACACTGAGCCTATTCCAAAGTCAGTGTCCATTAGATCGGAGGAATGGGATAATAACAGCAAAGGAGGCTCCTACTGATCCTAGCAAACTAAAATACAACAAAAACAAAAACAAACAAACAAAAAACAAACGAAAGACTAGTAGCAGTGCTAACAGCCTTGCAGCCATTGACTAGAAAGAGCTGGCCACTAGATGGCGCAGTACTACAGTGCCACAGTTCCTTCACGGCATAGAATTTTGCCTCAGATATGACAGGCACTCAGCATGATGATAGGAGAAAAATGTTGGCTCATTATTTACATCTTTTTTTTTTTTAAACATATTCTAGGGATACAAGTGTCCTAACTTGTCTCAACACCCTAACACCATGAGCTCTGTACCATTAACATATATTTGCTGACCTCTACACAAGATATCAAGAGTCTGTTTTGTTTTTCTACCTGCCGTAGTCATTGTCGCCAAGGGGTACTAAAGATAGGACAAACAGTTGCTATGATTATCACCTAAAAAAAATTAAGATAATTGGCAATATGATCTGTGGAGTCCTCCCTCTTTCCCCGTCCCTCTCTGTTTCCCCTGTTGCATGCGGATCTGACCTAACAGAATCAGTTGTGAAAGGCAGTGGCACAGGGAACTGTCATGGAAACCATAGGAGTCATGGGAACGTCGCAGAAGATGAGGACTTTAAGAAAATTGTATATTTGAGCCAATCAATCAATTCTCTATTGTGGAGTTAAAAGAGAGAGAGAGAAAGAAAGGAAAAAAGAAAGACAGGAAAGGAATACTCCCTTTTTGGAAAAACACTTAGTCTTTGAAGGTTGGAGGGATTTCCTAACTTCAGGGGGACATACTTGGAGGTCTTTTTTTTTTTTTTAACTGTATACATTTCTTTTTTTTCCTT